CCTCATCTCCATCTTGTCTTCTAATCCTGCTTCATACCTCTGGAGGAACTTTGCTACAAGCTGAAGCTTTGAACAAAGGACTGAGGACCCATCCCAGCGGGGGATGTATTCCAGAGACTTGATTTGAACCTGCAGTTCATTCCATCGCTGCTGCAAGCCTGAACCAAGAACTTTGCCATTACTGTATGTAATTGATTCCATTTAACCAATCCTAACTCTCATCTCTATCTTTTCCTTTTACGAATAAACCTTTAGATTTTAGATTCTAAAGGATTGGCAGCAGCGTGATTTGTGGGTAATACCTGACTTGTATATTGACCTGGGTCTGGGGCTTGGTCCTTTGGAATCAGGAGAACCTCTTTTCTTTTACTGGGGTATTGGTTTTCATAACCATTTGTCCCCATAACGAGTGGCACTGGTGGGAGTACTGGGAAACTGGAGTGTCTAAGGAGATTGCTTGTGAGATTTGCGGTTAGCCAGTGGGGTGAGACCGAAGTCCTCCTAGTCTGGCTGGTTTGGTTTGCCTTAGAGGTGGAAAAAACCCCAGCCTTGGGCTGTAACTGCCCTATTTGAGCAATTTGTCCTGAGTTGGCACACTCAGTTGGGTTCCGCCAGAACCGCATTGTCACACACCCTCTTCTCCAAACTCACGACACTCCTCCCTTTGTCTCCTGAAGACAGCACCTCCCTTCCCCAACGATGAGGAGGAGGGCTTCATCACACCCTCGTGTCCCAGACAACTTTCGGTTACTGATCCTCACTATGCACAATCTATATCTGGTCTAGAGTCTTGATACAGACCACCACAAATGCAACCACATGTTCCGCTCCTTCCATACTGGCCATATTAGGACCCTTGGGCCAGGTACAGGGCACAATTTGGGAAACTTTCCATGGAGCAAAGCCAAAGACCTACACTCCTCCCTTCTCCATCGGTCTCTCACCCTCTGGGCTGAACCTCCACTGGTACCAACTGAGGAGGAGGAAGCTGCACCAGCATTACATTTTTCCTCCTCCTCCCCTGACGAGGCTATAATGCTTTCACCCCCTACAACTCTCGATGACTTCAGACATTTTCAAGATTTATTCTGCAGGATAGCAGACTTCCTGCAGGTTCCTTTGGAGGAAATCAAGGACCAGAAGCATAAGATGCTTGATATCCTCCGTACAGCCTCTTCTTCCAAGATCGCACTACTGATCAGTGAAGCTCTTAATTCTGCAAAAATGCTCTGGCAGACCTCAACATCCATTCCTCAGACTTGAAAATGTGCCAACAAAAATATTATGGTCCAGCGAAGGATGCAGAATTTCTATTCTTGCACCCCAAATTCTCTGGTGATCAGTGCAGTGCAAGGGGGGCGGGCTATCAATACAATCCCATTCTAGTCATCCAGACAGAGATTGGAAACACCTGGATTTATTTGGACATGCATATTCATCAGCCATGCTCCAATTTAAAATTTCTAACTGCCAGGCTCTACAGCCCTACAAGCCTCGTTAGACTTGACAGATACCACCACCCGATGCATTGCAACTGCTGTAGTTATGAGACCGGCATCATGGCTCTACCTCTCGGGTTTTCCTAAGGAGGTTCAACTCATGGTGGAAGACTTACCTTTTGAGGGCGAAAAATATTCTGAGCACACAGATGATTCCCTGAATTCCTTTAAAGACTCCTGAGCTGCCCTCTGATCTCTCTGCATCTACATAACAGCGCCAAAAAGATGTCCTGGAAAGTATCATCTCTCCCCTGCGATCCTGACCACTGCAGTATAATCCTCAATGGCACTATGACATCCAGCACTGAAAACAAAGGCCTCCCTCCAAACATAGACAACTGACTTCTCGGGCTACCTCTCAGGCACCCCGACCAAAACAATTTTGAAGGTGTGATCGAGGCCCTGAGAAGTCTCCCCACTCTTTTTCAGTCATTTCCACCAACTTTGACATCCCACCAATTTGGCGACCAACTAGCTCAGTTTTTCCCAGCATGTAGACTAATCACCTTGTACAAGTGGGTTCTAGAGATAATCAAAGGAGGATGCTCCATCCCCTTCCTATCCACCCCACCCCGCCAGCCCCCAACCCCATCCCTCTTTAGAGACCCCTCACACAAACCTATTCTACGGGGAGAAATAAATCATCTTCTGCAACTAGAAGCCATAGAATCAGTCCCTTTCCAACACAGGGTTTTTACTCCCGTTATTTCCTGATCCAGAAAAAATCCGGTGGCTGGCAACCTATCTTGGACCTTCACAGTCTAAACAAGTTTGTCAATCTATAGCACTTAAACATGGCTACCCTCTCCACTACTATCCCAGTACTGGTACAGGGGGACTACTTCTCAGCCCTCGACATCCAGGATGCATACTTTCATATCACAGTACACCTTGCCCACCTGTGATTTCTCTGACTCTTCATGGGCGATGACCACTACCAGTACAAGGTACTGCCTTTTGGACTGTCAACAGCCCGTTGGGTGTTCTCCAAGGTCCTTGTGGTAATCACTGCCTACCTAATGAAATAAGGTGGTGTCCTCTTTCCATACTTGGATACCTGTCTCCTCAAGGCCCCATCTGAGATCAACACTCTCTGAGCTGTCCACATAACAATGGACCTGTTTATGAAGGTAGGCCTTCTCCTGAACCTAGAAAAGTCCTCTTTTCCATCGGTACAACATCTGGAATTCATCAGTGTGCATTTGGATACCATACAAGCCAGAACCTTCCTACCACCTCACAGATCTGGTATCCATCATAGGGATTTGCCCCCAGATCTCAGCCAGAACATGTCTCCAACTTCTAGGCCACAAGGCAACGACCACTTTCATGGCCAGACACGCAGGGCTACATATGCGACGTCTTCAGACATGGATCCATACTGTGTGTCTCCTCCACAAACTCTTATCCAAGCCAACAAGAGTCAAAGGACTCACTGCTTTGAAAGATGCAGCCCAACAATGTCAGTGTCGGAGTTCCTTTCCTCCAACCACCACCAACCATGATTAAATCTAAGATTTTGTCATGGTTTTTTTTCGTAAAAGTCATGGACAGGTCACTGGCAATAAACAGGTCACGGCTTCCATTTTTATCTGAGACATTTGCTGCTGTGGTTCCATGGTTTCCCCCACCACCATGGTAGCTGGGAGCTGTGGGGTTCCCCCTCTGCCCATGGAGGCTGGGAGCTACAGGGGTGACCATATTTCCTAAAGAGAAAACGGGACACCCCAGCTGCTCACTCAAGGTGTCCCCCTCTTCCTGCGCAAGGCTGTCGCTGGAACCCTGAGGAGGGCCACCTCCGGAGTCTGTCACCTGTCCCTGGAACTTTACAGGGGGCCCCCTGTTGCTGCTGTCGCCTATTGCTGGAACCCTGCCAGGGGCCCACTGGCTGTCAGCTCCAGAGTCTTGCAGCTCTGGGGCTGAAACAGAGAATGTCACGGAAGTCTCTGGAAGTCACGGATTCCATGACTTCCATGACCTCCGTGACATAAACGTAGCCTTAACCTTGATCCTAACAACTGATGCCTCCCTAATTGGTTGGGGAGTGCATCTCCATGATCACACAGTGTAGGGTAGATTGTCATTAACCAAATCCACCCAACACATTAACCTCCTAAAACAATGGGCGGTCCGCAGTGCCTGCTGGTATTTCTTCCCTCCACTTGAACATCATACTATCAGAGTCATGATGGACAATCTTTCCTGCATGTTTTACATCAATAGGCAAAGTGGAGCGAGGTACCACTCTATGCTCTGAAACCCTCAAATTGTGGAACTGTTGTATCTAACACATTAGCATTTCAGCCACATACCTCCCTGGATATTAGAACACCACTGCAAATGCATTGAGCAGGAGACTCTCCCATGATCACGAATGGGAACTGGATATGCGAGCCCTTCAGCCCATCTTCAACTGATGGGGATGACTCACCATATATCATTTTGCGTCACCGCAAAATGTCTGCTGCCCTCATTCTGCTCCAGAGTGGGACTGGGACGCAGATCTCTGGGAGATGCATTCCTCATCACATATGATGCACCACTTCTTCTATGCCTTTCCTCCCTTTCCCCTCCTATTCTGAGTACTTCACAAGACACAGGAGGACTGAGCTCATGTCATATTTATAGCTCCAACATGGCCACAATAGGTCTGGTATACTTACCTCCTTCACAGAATGGTATGCCAACCGATCTCTCTCCATCCAACACTGTGGCTCCTTTCACAGGACACATCCTCCGTCTCAATCCACAGATGTTCCACCTCAAAACCTGGCTCCTTGTGGTTCCGGGATTCGGAAATAACCTGTTCGGACGCAGTCAAACAGATACTTTTGAATAGCAGGCATGACACAACTAGACGCACTTATGTTCACAAATGGACTAGATTTCAATGCTTGTTTGCCTGACACCAAATCAATGCAACATGTGCTCCGCTACCACTGATCCTGGACTACTTGTTACACCTTAAACAATCAGGATTATCCACCAGCTCCATTTGGTGGCAATCACTACTTTTCATTGCCACATCGATGGCAGTTTTGTTTTCACACACCCATTCTTGAAATGTTTTCTAAAGGTTCTCCAAAATCTTTATCCCCACATATGAGACCTGACCCAGGCCTGGGACCTTGTCCTCATCCTATGTTCTCTGACTTAGACTCCCTTTTGAACCAATGGCAACCTACTCTTACGTGCATTTATCAAGGAAAATGGCATTTCTTGTTGCTATCCCCTGTACATTCTTTTTCCCAAAGACAGAGTTACGCTATACCCACATCCAAGGTTCCATCATCTTTCCATCCATCAACTGATGCACCTTGTTTGCTTCTTCCCGAAGCATCACAGTAACCAATAGGAGGTAGCCTTACACTCCCTAGACATGAGACGAGTATTACCTTTTTACTTGAACAGGACTAAAGCTTTCTGAAAATCACCACAATTATTTCTCTCAACCACCAAAAGATCCATAGGCACAACCACCTCTAAACAGTGCCTTTCAAAGTGGATCATCTAGTGTATACATTTATCTTACGAACTCCACAATAGACAACCTCCTATTACAATTAAAGCACATTACACGCATTCATTATCCACCTTGATCGCTTTTCTCAATAATGTCCCCATAGCTGACATTTGCAAAGCTGCCATCATATCAACAGACACCTTTGCCCATCACTACGCTATTACGTATGATGACACAGCAGATGCTCTTCTAGGACATACTGTCCTATCATAGGCAGTAAATGTCACTTCAGAGCCCCAGCCTTCCAATTAGGGGCACTGTTTTCTAGTCACCTACAAGTTAAGCACCCAAACAGACATCACTCAAAGAAGAGAAGGTTACTCACCTTGTGCAGTAACTGAGGTTCTTCAAGATGTGTCCCCTTATGGGTGCTCCACTACCCGCTGTCCTCCCCTCTGTTTCAGAGCCAAAAACATATGCTCTGTGACAAAGAAGGAACTAGGGGGTGGTGGTTGATCTGCACAATGCTATATGTGTCCCGCTCACTGCACAGGTTGGGGGAGGTGCGCATGTGTAGTCCGATGGGCACTGCTGATGAAGATTTCCGATCCCAGGCACGGAGGTGCTGCCACATCTACAAGTGGAGCACCTATAGGGGAACATATCTCGAAGAACCTCAGTTACTGCACAGGGTGACTAACCTCTTACAGACTGACAACTGAAACAGAAGGGACAACTACAGCATCGGTGGCCGAAGTCTTGTCCCAAATCTGACGATGACTTTTTAAAATCTTACACCATCAATTTGCAGGAGAAAAACATTTCTTTGCCTTCACCAGAGCATTTGTTAAATTTCAGTCAACAGAGTTATTCCAAGTAGTGTCCATTATGGCTAATCCCAATTATCTGTGATTTGTGGTTGACATGGGTCCCCTCCCCATGTGAGAAAAATGTGTTACTTTATGGAGATTCAGTCTGAAATGTCTGCTTCTGTTGATACAGAGCAATTTCTAGGTGGTACAAATGCTAAGTTTTGAGTTGGCCAATGATATACTGCCTGAGATACTAGAGGTGAAAGGAATAAGATTGAATCTGTTAATTTTAAATAAATAAATTGGAATAAGACTTAAAAATTTGGTAAGCAGGTTTAAATAAATTTTTAGATGTGGGGTCAAAAATGACACCTTTTAGAGTTAAAATACCATATTTTGAATTGCTTTAAAACCAGTGGGAAAACTTTTTGGCCCGAAGGCCACATTGGGGAATAGAAATTGTATGGCAGGCCATAAATGCTCATAAAATTGAGGTTGGGTGTGGGACGGGGTGCGGACTCTGCGGTGGGCCTGGGGATGAGGCGTTTGTGGTGTAGGAGGGTGCTTTGGGCTGGGACTGAGGGGGTCAGAGGGTGGGAGGGAGATCAGGGGTGCGGGAAGGGGTGCAGGCCCTGACCCAGCGCCTCGGTTGGAGTGCCAAAGCGGGGCCAAGCTGCGTGGTACGGTCCCGACCCAGCACCCCAACCAAAGCGGGGCCGAGCCATGTGATGTGGCCCCAACCCAGTGCCCAAGTCGGAGCGGGGACGAGCCGCGTGGTGCGGCTCACGGGACGGCTTAAAACGGCTCGCAGGCTGGATCCGTCCTGCAGGCCGTAGTTTTCCCACCCCTGCTTTAAAACATGAGAGAACTTCCACACCACAGCTAGTATAATTCTTTATGCTTTGACTTTTTAAAAAGACAATAAATAAGCATGAGTTACTGTGGACAAGTATTTCCAGAAAACCATAGGTTACCTTTCAAATAAAATATATGCTTTATTATGCTATACAGTAATGCATTAAAATGAGCACACAAGTTTAAAAAGCTAAAACAGAATTATTGGTAGAAAATACATTAGATTATTGAATAGTTACATTTTTACTGTGCAATTAGACTAATGCTCAGATTTTTAAAGATATTTAGGTATTGTTTTGCTTTGCTACACCTAAGTCTCATCAAAAGTCAATAGAACATAGGCTAAGTCACTTTTGAAAATGCATTGCAATGGTAAAAAAAGCAATGCCTAAAAACCTTTAAAAATCTGGGCTTAAATTTCTCACTACACTTTTCCAGTAGTGAGGCCTTATTTATTATCACTGCTATTTGGACTAACCTCTTTTACACTTACTGGAAACCATACTACTAGAGAAATGTTCTGTTGCATTATGAAAGTTGTACTGATATAAACCACAATTTCAGTCCTCTCATCAGGTTTGTTACTTCATATTTATGCTACACTCAATATAAGACTCTTTCAGTTATTTTGATTATTTCTGTATCACAGCTATCCTGTACAATACATAAATTACATTGTTCCGTTTACAGGAATTAAGCATTTAAAAAGTGAATCTTTTTACAGTATTTGGAAGAGGGTATGCTTGGGTAGTGGTTCTCAGACGTATTTGATCATACCCCCTTCTTCTTGTCTGTAGTAGTTTACACATGCGCGCACACACACACACGGCCCATCACACAAGTATATATACCGATTATATGCGGCGACAGTGCTTCACTTGAATCACGTTTGGTTTTTCACTTGTAGGTTTTTTTTTTGTTCTGTTGCATGAATGAGCCAACGATCCATTGTAATAAGAGCAAAAGCAAAGCTGATATTGTGGTCTATGCTTACAATTAAATGTGCACACCGTGTCGTAGCAAATGGATTAACGTGCAGATGGCAATGACTTTGTATAATGCTATGCAAGCTTAACAGAAATCTGTCAAAATGCACAGCACCATCTGAGGACCTGATAGGTCTGTAGGAATCAGCTTTGTTAGCTATTCATTACTATGGGTAAAATGTATGCAGTAAGTTTGAGGGTTTTTTTCCCCTAAAGCTTCTCATACCGCCACAGAATACATTCTATCTCTCCTCCCCCCTCATCCCCATGGGGGCCTGTCCCCCAGTTTGAGAACCTCTGTGTTAGGGTGTAGTGAGATGGTAAAGGCATTCTCAATATCAACTTCAATCTTCCTAATATGTTAGCCCAGGCTTGCTGATAGCCAAACTCTGTGGTAGGTCCCATAAGGAAACAGCTTCCATTGAAGTATAATCTGATGAATGTGTTTTTAATTTTTCTACTTCAATCTCTGCATTTTTGTAAAATAAGCTCTGTTTCCATTTAAGTTTGCAGTCTTTTTCAATATGGTACACTAGTGGGCTAAGATGGTCAACTATGGAATAGGGACCTGTCCATTTAAAATCCAGGGTGTGATCCTTTTTCCCTAACTTTAAATACATAACCTGGTCACCAGCTTCCCATAGATCAGAATCGGTGGCTTTTTGCTTGTACAATTTTGTATTCATTTGTCCAATGGCTTGATTCACCCTGTATTGTAAGGTAATTTTGTCTTCTTGCAATTGTTTAAACCACTGAAAGTAGTCATGCCTGGTTACAGTAGGGTGTTCTTCAGTGAGGCATTCAGGATTAATCATTAACCGCATTGGCTGCCCAAACAGGATTTGGTATGGCTGGATTTTTGTCCTCAGCCTATCACTGCTGTGGATGGCAGCTAGGATTAAGGTCCGCTTTTCAGGCCCGTTCTTACGGGTGCGATCCACCACCTTTCGCAGTGCCTCTTTAATGGTGCGATACATTCTTTCCACCTGTCTTGAGGATTGGAGTTCGTATGGAATATGAAACTTTTAATTCCCAGAGCATGCATCATGATGGTAAATATTTCCCCCACAAATGCACCCCCATTGTCTGCATCTATAATCTCGGGGGTCCCATACCTACATACCACATCTGTATCCTTTCCATCAGCTTCTTTCCACACATTTCTTTGCCAGTCATACATCCAGTACTGTATCCCCTTCAAACAAAAATCACTATTGGCATAGATATACACAGGGGAGCCTTCATACTGTTTTAAAACTTGGTTATCAGCATGCTGTGCAGACACGTGATCCTAATGTCCCTGAATAACCTCCTTCTCTAGGTTAATAGCAGCATATTTAACCCATCTTTCCCCTTTAATCACCACGGAACTCCCATCAGTAAACCAAACATACTCTTCCTGGCCTACAGTATCCAATTCCTCAAGAGGGGGTGCTTGCACTAAAGCAATCGTCTGTTCCAGAGTGATCTCTAGGCACTCATGTTTATTTCCTGTTTCAATTAAAGCATGCATCAGCATGTCTGGTTTAGACACTGTTTCAGTAGTAACTCCTCTGTTAACTGAGGAGCGTCCACTGGGCCATGGGGGTATTAGAAACCTTACCTCCCATCAGTTTGCCTGACAAAATATATTTAAGGGGAGTGCGGGTACTTTGAATAGTAATGGGAGCTGTGCCTGTGAGTAATTCAA